TTTTTGGCTGGATCCGCCCCTGATAATACCTATGATAAACCTATGGTAAAAGGCAATTTAATATATTATTTTACTATTGGAGTAAATGGATAATTTCATAATATCAGTGTATTTATTTTCCAAGTGGGGGCGGAAAAGATGATACGCTATAAAACAAAACAAAATAGCATTCGTAACCCACGCAGACAGAAGAGTCAATATTTTTGTAAGTTTTTAATAATCTTTGAAATCTTTCGTTGCGAATGATTTAATATAAAATACATTTTCCGAAACGGACAAGCGTCGTATAGACAATACACTATAGACACGTATTTTATAATTTATACCCAAGCGCGTTATGTACAAAATACACGAAGCAACTGTACAGCAGCTCGATGGTTGTCGAGTTGATTTCTTAGGTGGGTACGCCGTTCCCCACTTGTAGAATAATAATAATAGTAATTTTTTAAATAGTGTTAATACTAAACCCTTATTTCCCGTAAAACCCAACATTCATTAATTTTATTTTTCGCATACATTTTATTCAAACAGAAAGACTCCAGATCCCCCCCCTCTCCCATAAACGTTTTAAGTAGGAACGGGTCTAGAATCTAAATCTAGGTCTACGAAAAGAGTTATGTATATAACCATAATTTTTAAAGAAATATTTGATTAGAGTATCTACTACCTATAACCTATTAAATTATCATAATTCATAAGTATTATATTTTATCACTTATAGGTATGAAATAAATAATTCGTTTTGTCATGAAGTATTGTAGGTTTTATAATTTTTGGGATTGTGGACTATTTTTGTAGTTATAGTAAAAACGGTTCAGTTTGGCATCCACAGACATTATTGTCAACAAAAGACTATTCAATAAAAGTTAAAAATTAGTTGAAATATTTCGAAAATTGCATTGTGTAACCAACAATATATAGGTACATACTACATACAAATATATTAAGAGATAGCTAATGTTACATTTACAAAGTTTTTTACAGAAAAAATATTTTTATTAATTTCTATCGGAAATAAGCTAATGAATTTTAAAATTTTAATTATTTACGAGTAGCTTAAAATAAAATAATAAATAATATATACCTACTCAATACACTTGATTTATTATATAATTATTAATTATATTAAATATTGTATAAATATTATTAATTTCGTATTCGCAAAAAATGTGTGACTTGGAATTTTTTTTAAAATCCAAGATTATACAATGTTTTTGATAGGTGGGAGGGATGTTAAATTCTTAACCCTCTCTCAATCTGTACGTTACTGTTCTATATTTAATAAGATATTTGTCACTGAATTAAAGTATAATAATGGAAAAAAAAACGTATAATTTATTAATATATATAGGTAGTACTTACAACTGGCTACAACTTGTTTTTTATTTAAGAGGATGCTACACAAACTTTTGTTGTCTCCGTCTTACAAGTGCGTAACATACTAAATTTTAAGCTCAGCAGTATTTTAATGAGTATTATAAAATTGTAAATTGTTTGTACTTCTTAAGGTCGAATCATAAAGTCGTAACTCACTTTAAAATTAAATATAATACAAATCTTATAAAATTGTATAGATAGTAATTTTACCTTTAAATTTCAATACAGGTCAATACACTGCAATTTTTAAGTTAACTAAGTTAAACGTGATCTGTTGAGCGTTAACTTTGGAATGTTACGCGTTTGTAAGACTTAGCCAACAAATAAGGGTGTTGCGCCCTCTTAATTGGATCTAGTGACTACACTTACTACTAAGTAAGATGATAAATAATGTATTCAGGACATCCAATATTTGTATGTAATAAGAAATATTAAATTATTTAATAAGTATACGATATAGGCACCAAGTTACCTATATATACATATGATCTAAGTATAATTTTGAGAGCTTATTAATTATATATATACAGATTATTGGTCCGTGACGAGACCAAATTTTCAGATGGGGTAAACCAAATTTTTGGGGACGTTATATATAATAATATAAGCAATAAAAACATACCTACGAAAATCCTTTCTAATATTTTTGAGGGGGCAACGATTTGGTTTAGGGAGGACAATGCCTCCTCTTTCCCCCGTAGTTACGTGTCTATAATAGTATAATATATATATACTATACTATACGTTATATACTTATATAAATATCCTATTTATGTTACTAGGAAATTATGGCGTACAAGACAATAACTATAAAATACATGTATACCCATAAAATATAAAAGGTCAATATAATAAAATAAAGATAAACATCATTATTTGGAAGTTGATCACCATGTAGTATTGGCTATATACTTATATATATAAATATATTGTTTCAGTGTTGAACTGTGTTCCAATATTATATTAAATTATATAGGCGTACAATATACGTATATTGGTATATTGCATATATTATATAATTATATAGCTATTGAGTTATACTTCACAGAATTATAATAATTGTATTATTGGTTGATCAATGATCATACTATGTGACATAGTCACAACTTATAAGAGTATATGAACATTGAACTTATGTCTTATATAGATATATAGATCAAATATTATTCTTATAAGGAATTAATTTTATAAACGCAGTGTTTGTCCTTGAAGAATGTATATAAATAAATAATTTAAAATATAAATGCATACATCGAAAATAATACTAGTAAAACTTAATATATAATTTAGTATTATTTAAATATAATATTCAATATTATCAGGCGCGTAGCTAGAAATTTCTAAGGGGAGGGGGGGTGTTATTCAAAATTAATTGAAACAATTATAAACACAAAATTGATAACTTTACGTAGGTATACGATGATTCATCATGATAATCAAATAATCAATGATTAAAAAGTTGTAAACGTTTTCTTACACGCTGCATAAAAAGATATATTAAATCGTGCTTGAAACKAGTAATCGATAAAACGTAACAGTGGCGTAATTTGGCCATGTTTGTGGGGGTGGGGGGGATAAAATATTTTAACATTTTACCTATACCCCCCCTCCCATAAAAAAAATAAAAA